ATTTGACAAATGTGGAGCAAATACTGTACAGTTCAACTCTGAAGTAATCTGATTACTGTGGGGTGTACTCTAAGTGTGTGCGTTGCCGTTGGCTGCTTCCAGTCCCAGCTGTGTACATGGTGTGTTTTATGCTCTGCTGCTCTGGTAGTTGAGGGGAACACCTTCCTCCACTCACCAGCACGTCTTTCTCTCCACAGACAGCTCAGCCAGCATCTATGTGCTGCGTAAAGGATTCAGCCGACTAACGCAGGACGTTTACTACCTTCCCATCGAGATAAACGACAACGGCTTCCCGGCGATGAGCAGCACCAACACTCTGACCATCAGAGTGTGTTCCTGCGACAGCAGAGACACCATCCTGTCCTGCAACGTGGAGCCGTACGTCCTGCCTGCCGGCCTCAGCACCGGAGCCCTGATCGCTATCCTGGCCTGTATCGTCATTCTGCTCGGTAAGGAGCTCAAATTTAACTTACAGCTGCAGATTTCTAAGTTTGGGAACACTGTAAGATGTCCTGATTGAAATGTAAACCTGATTGGAGCCATCCAGCGGTGTGTTTATGAGCCCTTTGACCTTAGCTGTCACAGACACACCTGATATTTGCTCTGAGGTGAAACGTGAGCAATCAACCAGGCTCCAGTTTTGGATGTTTTTTGAAATGCACTGCATCATTTGAACTTGTTGCAGTGCCTCTAAAAAGTATGCACCGCCGTGGAAGTTGGAGGTTTCCTGCACAGCTTTACAACATTGAATCATGGTCAGTTTGATTTATAGATGTCAAAGTGAAGACAGATTCCTACAAAGTAATGTCAGTTAATTCAAAATAAAAAATTTAAAATCAGTGTCTGCATCAGTGTTCTCCTCCTTCAGTCAGTGTTCAGTAGATGAACCTTCAGGTCCATCTTTGATCCTGTTGGTCTCCATCAGTCTGAACATCTGGACGCTGCAGCTTCACCTCATTCTTCTGAGACTCTGTCAGGTTCCACAGAGATCATGAGTGAACAGAACTTTTCCGGTCCAGACACTAATTCTCAGTTGGATTGAGGTCTTGACTCTGACTGGGCCTCCAGAACGTTCACCTTGTTGTCTTTAAACCATTTCTGTGGAGCTTTGCTTCGGCTCGTTGTCTTGATGGAAAACAAATCTTCTCAAGTCTCAGTTCTCCTGCAGACTGCATCAGGTTGTCCTCCAGGACTTCTCTACACTTTGCTGCATTCATTTACTCTCTTTAACCTTTACAAGCCTTCCAGGGCTGCTGCTGAGAAGCATCATGATGCTGCCACCACCGTGTTTCATGGTAGCGATGGTGTGTTTGTGAGGATGTTCAGTGTTTGGTGTCCTCCAAACATAACATCTAGTCTGATGGACTAAAAGCTCCATTCTGGTCTCCTCAGACCAAAGAACCTTCTTCCAGGTGACTTCAGAGTCTCCACATGTCTTCTGGTGAACTCTAGTCCAGATTTAATCTGAGTTTTTTCCAGCAGAGTCTTTCTCTTTCTCTTCTATAAAGCTTTGACTGATGAAGAACAGACAACAGTTGTATGAACAGCCTCTAACATCTCAGCTGCTGAAGCTGGTAACTCCTTCAGAGGAGTCATAGAGTCTTGGTGGCCTCCCTCACTAGTCTCCTTCCTGTAGCTCCTTCAGAGGAGTCATAGGAGTCTTGGTGGCCTCCCTCACTTGTCTCCTTCTAGTACCTCCTTCAGAGGAGTCATAGGAGTCTTGGTGGCCTCCTTCACTCGTCTCCTTCTTGCTCGGTCACTCAGTCTTTGAGGACGTCCTGCTCTAGTCAGATCTACTCATGTTCCATATTCCTTCCATTCCTTAATGATGGATTTAACTGGACTCCAAGAGACTTTCAGTAACTTAATGTTCTTCTATCGTCCTGACTGATGCTTTTCAACAACCTTTTCCCAGAGTTCTTGGAGTGTTCTTCAGTCTTCATGGTGTAGATCTATCCAGTAATTTCCATACTTTAGTAGAAATCAGTTTTCACTTTGACATGAAAGCGTCTTTTTTTAAAAATTCCTGTCAAAAAGCCAAATTACATTGATCATGATGTCATACGTGGGTCTCCCGCCCAACCTGCTGAACTATCCGGGCGTCCTCGGTGAACACTTCTGATAGACGTTGTAGGATCAGAGGCCACTTGTGCATCACCATCGCTGCACTCTTGCGTAATCGTTCCACGTGGGCTCGTTCCTGTCTGATGAAGCTCGTCTTCTGTGTTGTTGCGGGGGCTGAAAATGTCTGCAATATGTTTCCAAAAACAGCGAACGTGTTGCATTACATTTCAGCCTTTAGTTTAGACGCCTGAGCGCATTTTAAAAGCCGTGCATGTTGACAGCCACCTACAGCTAAAATGGCATGTGTGTAAAGCACAACCCCACGATGATGAAAATCAAACTCTCCCACAGCGCGTACTAATTATCCAACGCTCCGGTGTTGTACTTTCTAGCAGCGATTGTGTGGCGATTATGTGTTCGCTAGACAGAATTTAAGGCCGTGTTTCTTCTGTTTGGCAGCGATCGTGGTGTTGTTTGTCGCGCTGAGGCGTCAGAAGAAGGAGCCGCTGATCGTGTTTGAGGAGGAGGACATCAGGGAGAACATAATCACTTATGACGACGAAGGAGGCGGCGAGGAGGACACCGAGGCCTTCGACATCGCAACGCTGCAGGTAGGAAACAGCACAGCGGGACTGACAGGCACATTATCGAAAAAAATATATATATCATCAAAATGACACCATTTGACAGAGAGAAATGTAGGATTTTTTAATTTCTGACGGTCATTGAACTACTCGTGTGTCTGTTCCATCAGGATCTAAATTGAAAATATTTAATGGAAACTGTTTTAATTAACCTTCTCATTTAAAGTGATTTTTGATGTGGACATTATGTACAGTTTTTTTTATGGTTGATATGTAAATCAGTACTTTCTTTTCTGTGATTTCACTCGTTATTGTGTGTAATTTAACAACAAAAAAAAACATTAAACTCACTGAAAAAAAATACAGAAATCCATTAAAACACAGCGGAATGCATTCAAAAAGCTAATGAACTGCAAATAAAAGGTAAATAATCATATTTTTCGCCAATTTATTTCTAAAAATACAGATTTTTGATGCCTTTTTTTTTGCTTGACACATAAATTATTACTTCTTTTTGTGATTTTGCAAGTTATTGTGTGTAATTTAATAAAACAGGAAAGATCTGAAAATTATCAATAAATTGTTTGTAAAAATTCAATAAAAACTAATATTTTTAAACACATTTTAAACCTGAGTTCCTACAGTGTTATTAACTATGACTGCTGTAATAATAAAGCTAAGATCCTTATCAATTAATCGATCGACTATAAATATTAAGGCTGAGATTCTGCAGTTTATACTAGTATGTATAGAAATGCAGTAACTCTTCAGAGCTTCATCGGACAGTTTCAAACCAGGTTCTTCTCTCTTTCCGACTCCTCAGAACCCCGACGGTGCCAACGGGTTCCTGCCGAGGAAGGACATCAAACCGGAGCTCCAGTATCCCATCAGGCCCGGCGGCCGTCCCGCAGCCAACAGCGTCGACGTCGACGACTTCATCAAGACCCGGATCGCGGAGGCCGACAGCGACCCGACGGCGCCGCCCTACGACTCCATCCAGATCTACGGCTACGAGGGCCGGGGTTCGCTGGCCGGGTCTCTGAGCTCCCTCGAGTCCGTCACCACGGAGTCGGACCTGGATTACGACTACCTGCAGAGTTGGGGGCCGCGGTTTAAGAAGCTGGCAGACTTGTACGGGACCAAAGACTGCTGCATGAACGATGTGGACGACGGCGAGGACTCTTAACAGCGGTCTCACCGAGTGGACGCCTCCAAACCCGGTCCGATTCCGCGAGGATTCGCTAACGGAGGGTTCCCGACCGACCGATCAGTTCATGCCAATTCGTCACCGAACGCTAAACAGCCCTCCTCCTGCTCCTCCTCCAAGTCGCTTCGTTAACGGACACATAACGAACGACTGGACTGTTCCCAAACTTCTTCCTCCGCCTCCCGCCGTCTCGTTCCCTCCCTCTGTTCCCACAGACTCGAGCATCGCAGGGCTGGAGATTTGTTCTGTCACTAGTTTGTCTGTTTGGGAGTAAATTTGATGGAAAAATTGTTGCTGTATGATCAAAACGACTTGCTTATAGCAAACTGTTTAGTTTATTAGAGGTTCTATATGCTTTTGTGGACTGGATTCTTCCTCGGCGCTTCCTGGGAGAGATTTTATTCCCTTCGCAGGCTCCTGAGCGGAGTGTTTTTACTTTAGTCGCCCTCTCAACGAAAGAGAGGAAATACAAGTAAGAATAAGTTTGTATGTGATCCAGCAACTGCCTGAGAAATGAAACATAAAAGACGTGTCAGTCGGGTCAAGCGGTTCAAACAAGATGATTTCTTTTTTTTAAGTTGTTGTGTGTGTGCCGAATCCAGCAGGTCCTGTTGTTAGACGGCGTGACCGACTCTGGGTTGTTGATGCTCTGAAGGCGCTCGCAGCTTCTTCACAGTATGGTGGCCTTATAATAAATAACCAACAACTCCAGGGGTAAACACAGCAGGAGGGAGCACAGAGACCGCTAGCTTCAGTAGCTGCACGGACGAACCAACACGACTGCGAATCTGTGAAAACGCTGCACAAACGCAACCGTTTTGTTTTTTCTAAAAAAAAAAAGAGAGACCGACTCGACGCGGATTCAATTACAAAACTGTGGATGATTCTTCGTTTTCATTCTTCACTGCAGAGAAGACGTGAAAAGAAAAGCCGCCCACATCCTCCCCCCCACTGTGTCCCCCTTCCTCCCCCCCTTCATCCCTCACCTGTCCACCAATGAATGATCACTTCCTCATTTGGAGTCCACCAATGATGATCAATCAGTAAAAGAAAAAAGAAAAAAAACCTGTGAGCTCTAAAAATCGCCTTAAACTTTAACGGACACTCTTTGCAACGCAGTGCATTCTCTTGTTTTTGTTTTTATTTTTTTTCTCCTCCTCCTTTTTTTCCTTTTTTTTGTAACTTGAAAAGTATATCCAGAACGCAAACTATTCTCCATGTTAGGTGTGTACAGAGCAGACGTGTGGTACTTCACTGAGGATCGCTCTTGGATCAGGATCGGCCGCTGCTGCCTGCTCCGTGCACGCCGGCCGGTCGAACGCGTTTCCACGGCGGCGGCGGCGGCGTCTGTTGTATCAACACGTGTCGCTCTCCCAACACAAGCCCAGTTTTCTGAGCCTCGTGCACGGAGGCCGACAGCAGGGCGTCCTTTTTAAAGAGTTCTTGTTCAATCTCTTTTTTAATGTTATTATATTATTATGATTATTATTATTGTTGTTTTCTATGATTATTATTATTATTATTATTATTATCATTATTATGCCAATAATTGTTCTTTCATTGGCTGCAGCTACACAGGAACTCGTTCAACTCTTTGCAGCTCACGTTTGCCCGAACATGGAGAGACTACCGAGTAATCAAGTTTCATTTCGGGCTAAAAATCTGCTGCCAAAAGTTAAATCTGAGCTCTGTGTGAATACAACCTCTCTCATTTCTTTGGTTTTTAGTTTTTCTTTTCTTCATTATTTGGCGTTTCTTCGTCGTTTCTCCCTGTTCGAGAGGAAAACTAGCAATCTGTGTTTGTTGCAGTGAGAGAACGCCTCGTTTTTATTCTCTGTCAAGTTTTATGGTACCGATTTGTACAATTTTAAAAGTTCTTATTTTAGTATACATGCAGAATATTCCAGTATTACAACAAAAACATGTTAAGAAAAATAAGATTAAAAAAAATGTTACAGCATCACACTTATATTTTCTGAACATTGTACTGTTGCTTTACTATGTGCTTCAATCTCCGAAGCGAAAAAAAAAACTTTGAAATAAATGCTCTTTTTATAAAATGACGCTGAGCTGTGTGTGAGGATCACCTCTGTGCTGCTTTCAGCCGATGTTGGGATGATGTCTTCCTGGGATCGAAGCATAAAAATACACTAAGTTTAAATCCAGTGCCATCAAATACGTGCTATAAGAGCAAGAGTCCTTCATAAAAACGGCATAAATCTTGCTTTTTCAGTCACAATAAATGCTGCTACAACAGTTTTTAATAATAAACCAAGTTATTCATTATAAAGTCGATGTTTATACATGATGTACGAGCAAAGTTCCTTCATGAAAACATATAAATTTGACTTTTTCAGTCGTCTTAAACATGCTACGACGTCAAATAATAAAATAAGTTAATTATGAGGACCATCACTTGCAATTAAGTACACAATAAAAGAGCAACTTTCCCTCATGAAACTATACAAAACTTGCTTTTTTGGTCACGTTAAATATACTACAATACTGTTACGACGGTTTCTATGACTAAAATAGGTTAATAATTATAACGAGACGATTCCAACAACACACTTGAACTTTGCTCAACTTTTTCAAACCGACGTCTTCCTGCAAGCGGCTGCAGCGACCAATCGAATGCATGTGATCTCCTAATGTTACAAAGGTCTGTGTCCTTTGTACGACAGGAGCTAATGACGTGCATATACACAAACGAGCTGCATTTGCAGGAATGCGCTGCAAAAACGCTGCACATCCAGTCCCAGGCCTCTAGGGGCAGTTTTTAAGCCTTTAGCTTCTCAGTCACTGTGATCATCTGGGTGCTGAAGTGTTTTACTGCCGCCTCCCTGTGTTCTCTCTGTTATTTATGTTTATCCACGGAGACCAGAGAATACAAACCTTTTCATACAGCTTTTCCCTCAACTATCGTTACTTGTCTTGCTCACTGTTGTCTGCCTCTCAGGTGTAAAGCTCACTGCTGCCCCTAGAGGCCTGATGCACCTCTGCTGTGTGACTGGATATGCAATATTTTCTTTTTGCATTTGTTTTCATTTATGCAGCGTTTCCATGTTTGCAGCACATTTCCATTTATGCAGTGCATTCATGTATATGCAGATCGGTGTAGAAGATAGATTAGTAGATTGGTGTAGAAGCACGTCTTTTGCCCCCGTCGGCCATCGTAGGAGAAGTGATCAAACTCATAACTCTGTTGGTCAAACCTTCTCAGACGTTAAACAACTCGCTGCCACCGACGCTGCTCCTCCTCCTGTTAGACTAAAGGACTCAAGAGTCTGAAGCCAAACTGGAAACTGTGTGAGAGCTCGTTGACAGCTCAACGTGTGGATGTTCAGAACATCAGCCGCTACGTTGAGCAACAGAGTTGTCAGTGTTATACGGGTCACTGAACCGGCTCTGGTCGAGGTTCTGTTCAGAGTTCAGGGTTGAAACCGGCACCGGTTCTTCTCCCGACTGAAACAGATTCTCAGCCGAGGTTTTATCTGTAAACCTGCTCAGCTGTACGTCAGTAAAACCACCGAACGAAGCCACGAGCTGTATGTTGCTACGGTAACCTACATGGTTTCAGTTGGTGATGCAGAAAATGCACAAACATGTTTTTCTGTTCGGTTCCTGATTCGCTGCTCGGTCCGTTCAAACTGCCGGTTCTGCAGCTGACAGAACACGCTGATCAGTCTGAACATCCAATCAGAACACTCATTTCTACTTTGATTTGTCCAAAAGTTGAAGTTATTTCCACATTTTCTTCATTACATTCCAGCGTCAGGCCTGAATGTAGATGTTTGAACGTGTGACGTTTAATGTTTCAGAGCTCTGATGTGCAGCTGGACGTTAGAAATAATCCGCCGAGCTGAGAGTCACTGGGCAGGAAAATAAACACGTCAACTCACGGCGTTGACGGTTTTCTAGCAGCGTTCATCTCTGGAACCGTTTGCAGTAAGAAAGCTTCATGTTCCTCACAGCTCTTCATGACAACAAGCTGCTGATGAAGCAGGCAGAAGAACAAAACCTCATCAACAAAGATGACCAGCGTCTGGTGTCTCTGAAATGAAGTTCAAGGAACCTTTTCCTACTATTTAAATACATGCATAGTCGTAAGATTAAAAGAAAATCTAAATTATTGCTTCAAATAAATTACTTAAGCTGCAAATATTATTTCTGATGAGACGTGTTCATAAAATACTGTTTGATTTAATTTAAACTCAAATTTCTGCATAAGATGATTGAATTCAAGTTGAGGTTGTTTAATGAAACTTTAATTTGTCTTCACATTGAGTTCAGGATTTCAGGTCCTCTGCTCTATCTTTGCATGTCCAGATATCAGACAGTTCAAGCTGATGATTAAAAAGTACCATCGAATGTAGAAAAAATGAATTTCCTCAAACTAAGTATGGTACGGAAGCTGAGAGCGGTCGTTTTCCGCTACTGTTCTTTCTTCGCCGTTTTCTCAAGATAACGAGTTAATTTTCTCGTTATCTCGGGATAACAGGAATTGTTTTCTCGTGAAAACGAGATAATTGGTGTTTGTGTTTTCCCGCTCGTGCCCGGTCCAGGATGGAATCCCAGGTGTGTGGGACCTCCCACACACCTGGGATTCCATCCTCAGTCACCAGCGGGGAACCGGAGTAGTTGTCGTTCCCGGTCAGCTGTTCTCATGACACGTCATGTCGGAGTTCCCGGTCAGCTGTCTATATAAGATACGTCACACCAGGAAGTCCGACAACTTCTAATGAAGGCTGAAGTGACAGCCCAAACTGTCAACGGGATAATTATCTCGTTATCTCGGGAAAACGGTGTTCGTTTTCCTGAGATAGCGGAATAATTATCTCGTTATCTCGAGAAAACGCCATTTACAAAAATGTGCGGCCATGACTGCTCCCGGCTTCCGTAGTATGGTCTGTTGGTTGAGCATAATTTCACTAGAAGATTGATGTAAACGGGTTTGTTGAACCCAGACATTATTTTTGAATGTTCATACCCATTATCTCTGATTTACTCTTGATTTTCTCTGGTTCATTCTAACTATCTCTGGTTTATTCTGATTATCTCTGGTTTGGATTTTTAGTTTTGTCGAGGCAGCTAACGCTAAAACAAACCCATCCGAGTCAAACCTGCTAGTTCAGGTATCATCAGCGTGTTCGGCACCTTTTCAGCAGACAGAAAAGCGTAACTCTTGTTATTTTTACTGTTTCCTGCGTCTGTCGGTCGAAGCGACGCCTCGACAAACACTCAGGCATTCTGTTTATCCGTAATCATCTTCATGTTGCTCGTTTAGCCTTCGGAGAGACATTATTCATTGGGCTCCACCAGAAATAAAAGGCCATGTGCAGCCACACGCACAGGAAGCGCACAAGCCGACGCTCAGATTTCATCGACTCTGGAAAAGGTCAGGCTGCACTTTGGATGAACAACACGAGAGGTGATGTTCTGCGGAGACACACGGAGAAAGAAAAACAGGTTTATAGATCAGAGCCGGGAGAGCAGAGCCTCACCTGAGGCTGCCGCTCGGCTGCCGACGGGTTTTGATATTTCCACTGAGCTCGATCGGGGAGTCTGTGGAACTAAAAACCTGCTGAATATTCTGGGTTCATCATTAGTCTGTAAAATAATGTCCAGAAATGCTAAAGATTCCACATTAAAGCTGCAAAGAATCTTCAGTTTGTCACAGAAAACTAAAAGAACTGAAAGAAATTCCATTATTCAGAAACTGACACGACAGATTTGTTTCCTCATTTATCAAAACTATATCATTTTCTATCAACTAAATTATTGATTTATCGACTGATCATTCCGATACGTCGCTCTAATAAAGAGGCGCACAATGAAGAAACCTGACTGCAAACTTTCATCTGGACGAAATTCACGTGCAAAAATAATCACGTTTTTTTAAACTTTCTGCTCGTCTGTTTGGCAAATCTAAGAAAAAGTATTAAAATATGTCTGTACTGTTTGGAATTATGATATTAAACTAACACGAGTTTTTTTTAATATATGGAACATCTGTAAAAGCTGAATGAAACCGATCATAGACTGGACAAAGCCCAACGCTGTATGTAATATTTAGCTTTTCTGTCATATATATTGGAAAAAAATGCAGGAATTTTCCCCAGAAACAGCTTTTGGACAGAATGACTAATATTAGAGTGATTGGGGATGAATTTGTAGAGGAATGCATCAGTAAAGAAAATTAAAATCTTCTTTAAAGAACTGAAAAAAGTCCTTTAGAAAATGTCTCGTGTTGCGTAACGCCGACAAAAACATCAGTTCTTTTGAATCGGACGTCACTCAGATCGGACTTTGTTGTCGTCACGCAGAACTTTGTGCCGCGGATTTAAATTATCGAATCTTTCTGTAGCTGAAATTTTTACAAAGATCTGATGAAGGCTGCACAGTTATGGACAAAATGATCATTGGTATTGTTTATTTAAATTAACAGAGTTCTGCTTTCAATTCCCTGTTGTGCTACATTCCTGATAAAGAGCAAATCTGCATCAAAATAAGACAAATCACAACTTGAATTCGAGGCGAAATATAAATAAAGCTGGACCCAAAACTCCTCACTGGTTGAACATCTGCTTATAGACAGACGCTACAGTTTCCAGATGTTCCCTGAACGCCTCCCGTGCAGCTCCAGTAGAAGCTTCTAGTCTCCATCAGTTACTACAGAGAGACCAAACATTAGCTTGAAATCAGGAGTTCTGATGTCAGATTTACCTGAAACCAGGTGAGTTTATCTGTTTTAAATATTAACAGTCGATGGTGTTCATTTCGCTGTGAGAAGCCAAAATCACTGTTAACATTCCATCAGCTTATTTTTTCTTCCTTTTTCAGGGTTTCTCTCTTGTTCCTGCTCGTGTTGCTGCGAACGCGTCAAGTCTGCATAAATAAAGTTTAAATCAACTCCACGAAGCCTTAAATCAGAGTGAATGATGTTTTCTGTTCAGACTTTTCTTGTAAATTAATGATGGCAAAATGAGAACCGAGTGAGTTTCCTTTTGTGTCAAGCAGCAAATAAACTTGTTGGCTGATGTGATTAATCTAATTTGTCTTC